AAGCTGGAGGGGTTTGATAGTGTACTGAGGGTGGAGTATGGAGAGATGTTGAAGGACTAGGTCAGGGACCTGATCAGGTTTCCTGTCAAGAGATTAGATGTGAGCTCCCCCCTAGGAACAACAATACAGTGGTCTCCATCTCAAGCACAGAGAGGCTCAAGGGAACTAGTGTAATCAGATCTAAACAATCTCTAGATGCAACCTATAAAGTTGGTAGTCAACTCAAGTATAGGTACAACTTAGTTTATTTATTTATTTAAAGGGACTGTAAGTAAAATGTCAAATGAACCTCTGTGTTTGATTTTTTGTAAAATGGCGATGTCCGCTTTACAATGTAACCCTTAAAACCTTGATCTGGTCAATGTAGTTTTTGTTTTATTCTGATAATTCTGATATGCTTTTCTGCAGTAGAATTGCGCAGGTAACTTTAGTAGAGAAACCCCAGTCGAAAATAATTATATTTCAAAATGATAACATTTACATATATATATATATATTACATACTTGATCAGACAAAGCTTTTATGGGTACTGTTGTGAATCAGAAATTGCAATCTTTGCTTGAGGAGTTACTTGAATTTACGCTCAGAGCCAGAAGCAATGATGTTTTTTGTCGGAGTTAGTTTATAAGAAATTGGAGAACAGAAAACTATTTTGAACAAATTTAGATTTTTATTTTCTTGGTGTTTTCATTCGGACTAAATTACAAGGAAAAGCTTAATGTTAAATGACTGTTGTTTTGATTTTAAGTTACCCTCTTTAATTGTAAATAACAATTTAAAAAAATCTATTTTCAAAGTTAAAAACATGGATTTTCTTATTTATTCTTATATCAAGGGCAATGTAGCAAATCAGACTTGCTATTGTACATTTAAATAAAGGGTTCTATGGAATTAGATCTACACTCTACAATCTCACTTTGAATAATGTTTTGAGCAAATCAATTATTCTCTTAAATTGATGTTCAATTTTGTTTTTGTTTATTTTCCGAGTTTTCATTAGTTTCCAAAAGTTTTCTTCAACTTTTCATTTCATTTTCTTAAAAATTCGAGATAAAGTGCAAAACACTAGTATTCAGCAAAGATTAGTTACAGCTGTTCTCATCAAATATTCAGCAAAGATTACTTACAGCTGTTCTCATCAAATATTCAGCAAAGATTGCTTACAGCTGTTTTCATCAAATATTCAGCAAAGATTGCTAACAGCTGTTCTCATCAAATATTCAGCAAAGATTGCTTACAGCTGTTTTCATCAAATATTCAGCAAAGATTGCTAACAGCTGTTCTCATCAAATATTCAGCAAAGATTACTTACAGGTGTTCTCATCAAATATTCAGCAAAGATTGCATACAGCTGTTTTCATCAAATATTCAGCAAAGATTACTTACAGCTGTTCTCATCAAATATTCAGCAAAGATTAGTTACAGCTGATCTTATCAAATATTCAGCAAAGATTACTTAAAGCTGTTCTCATCAAATATTCAGCAAAGATTACTTACAGCTGTTCTCATCTAATATTCAGCAAAGATTACTTACAGCTGTTCTCATCAAATATTCAGCAAAGTTTACTTACAGCTGTTCTCATCAAATATTCAGCAAAGATTACTTACAGCTGTTCTCATCAAATATCAAATCAAAGATTACTTACAGAGAGGCATACCCGATATGCAGCAGTTCTTATATTTAAACCTTTCTCTGATCAACACAGCGGGAGATATTGTTGTTTGAAAAATTTTTAATTTTATCAATTTTATCTTCAGCAGATATGCCCTTGTTTACTTTAGTAGAGAACCCACAAATACAAGTTTTACAATTTAAAAAGATTTACAAATATACCTGGATATCTCATTCACCTTGGTCGGATACAGATTTAAGGATATCTTTGTAAATCGGACATCCCTTTCATTAATTTAAAGGTCACTTGAACACACCGTGTTTTCCTTTAAGACCCCAGCATGTTATTATAATATTTATTAACGTTTGTCCTTTTTAAAATTTTGTACTTTGTTTATTTTCTCCGGGTTTTAAAGAAAACTAAAGGACATTTCTGAAAGTTTGAAGGTTTCTGAATTATAGATCAAAACTTGACTTTAAGAATATTAGAACCACCACTTTAAGTAACCCTTCATGGAACATTTTTATTAATAGTTTAATACAGAGAACTCTGAAATAGGAAGACGACATTTAGATTAAAATCCAACGAGTATAAGACACGACAATTGTACAGTGTGTTAACAGATTCATTTCACTAAATTAGTGATTAAAAAAATTGTCTAGTAAAACTATTTGCTTTGTAACAACAATAAATATACATAAGTATTGCTGTCGTCTTCCTATTCCATTGTTTTCTGGTTATCAATGTACGTATCTTTTACACTGTCTTTTGTTTTTTAAATGGTGGCCAAATTTAGTTTATCGTCGACTCTATGCAAGGTTATAATGCAAGGAAAGTTAATTGCAGTTCCGTATACTCTGCATACATATTAAAACCAGTTCTCTCTGGGCGGAATTTGTAAACAAGGATAGATGCATCAGTGTTTGTTTAGTATCCATGGAGGATAAAAGCATTGAATTTTGAAAATTTTGATAATTTACAGAATTGTTTTCTATGACCAGAATGTGTTATTGTTTTTATGTGAAAGATGGATCTCATGTCAGGTTGTGACATCCGTCTTGTGTTTACATTACCGCCCAGAGACAGTACACTGCATTACAAAAGATGCGTACACCTCTTAAATAAGTTTCCTTGCATTATAACTTTGACTCAATGTGACAATCTACAATTACTTAAGAAAAATACTGTACAATTTAATTGCACAAATGTTTAGCAGATATAGGCTTGACGGATACATTCTTTACTGGGTTGAAAGAAAAATGAAAAAGTGAATATTTAGGATTTAAAGTTTTCGTTTATGTATAGACAAATTTATTTTTAGACTTCAAAATGACTAACTGAAGTGAAAAACGGTCTTAAAAATAGATCAGATTTTATCAATTCTAATGTTGGTCCATTACAGTCGTTGCAGCGGTGAACAAAATCTTATTTTTTGTCAAATTTTCAATGAAATTAAAGTTTAACCTATGAGGGTATACCAGGGGTGTGTACAAGGGGGGGGTACAGTTGCTGAACCTTCTTTACTTGAAAAGGTGGGCCAATAGTTCATAGAGCGGGTTTTGACCCCCCCCCCCTCCCTGGATAAATCCCAGTATACGCCCCTGAACTCTGTATTTTATATAAGATTTAACCTAGAACTTATTTTCATTGCAAAATATGAAAGTTATATATTACTCTATCTCTAGCGCTTTACTAGGGGTAATCACATTTTTAAATAACTTACAGAATAATAAAAGAAATAGCAGATTTTTAGAATTCAACATATGTTTCACAGTTAAAGTCCTAATTTTTTAACATTAAAAGTTTTTCAAAATTTACAGATTTTTAAATTTTGTCGAAATTTATATTTTTAAACTTATTTTAGGTTTAATTGTAGCTTAGACTTCAGTCTGTGGAGTCTGAGTTTCCCAAATTTTATAAATAAAAACTGATATAGCTTGATGTGCCCTACCATACACTTGGTTGATTATTCTCTGTATGATAACAAATATACTTTTATTGGATAAGTTTCAGAAAATCTTCACTAAGCCAAAATGAAAAGAAAGTTAGCCTCTATCCACTCAATAATACAAATATATTTATATTATTTTCTTTGGAGACAAAGAAACTGTTTAGAACTATTTTATTGTTTTTTGGCAATAAATAAAGATTTTTTCTTCTACAGAGCTCACATTTTTATGTAGAATCAAAGGAAACGGAAACGAACATAAGAGCTTAAAAACGACGAAATGTGTAAAATTGAAACAGCAACGAAATTCTTTCCCCTCTAATTTAAAAAGCCCAAGAAAGCAGACCACAATTTGAAAATTCCAGAAAGTACCAAGATTCAACTACTGGTGTTCCAAGAATCATACTTGTAAAAAGAGGATGTAGAATCAATGCCGCCAATAATTTCAAAGATAAAAAACGACCATTACGTCATATCTCAACCGCCATCTTTATTGTGACACCCTGTACGATATTATTAAAAGTTTACTATATTTCAGGTGCGAGAGAGGATTTGTTCTAACGGGTGGACAGCGAGTGACTACAAGGTTATGTACCAGGAACGGTACATGGACTGGTGATGCCCCTGCCTGTACATACGTAGACTGTGGTACCCCGGCCCTCATCGAGAACGGCAACTTTGTGATGCAGAACAACGTCACCAGCTACTTCGGATCCATCACCACCTATTCCTGCAATGTTGGCTGGAAGCTGGAGGGGTTTGATAGGAGATCTTGCTCAGCGGACGGAATCTGGACGCCTGAAGCTCCGGTTTGTCGTGAAACCTTGTGCAAGGAGCTCACGGTTCCTGCTAAGGGCCAGATGAACATCACCACGTTAAGAATAGGAGGTCAGGCAACTTTCTCCTGTGAGCACGGATATAATCTAGTCGGAGACCCGGATTTAGAATGTCTTAGCTCTGGATCTTGGAGTGGCTGGCCACCAGGTTGTGTAGAGATCGACTGCAAGGAACCCTTTAAGCCAGAGAACAGTAAAATATTCCTGGTTCAGAACTCTACCAAGTATGGCAGCACTGCTGAATATCATTGTGATCCTGGGTACACCAGAGAGGGGCCGTTTAAGAGAGATTGTGAAATCAACGGTTACTGGTCAGGACAAGACCCTGTCTGTTACATACCCAAAAGAGCGCCGATAATCCCTGTTGGATCTCCAAAGGGTCGAGGTTCTGACGATGTGACCTCGGATACTCAGGAAAATGAATCCTCAGGAGTAGGAGTATGGATTGGAGTAGCTCTAGGTCTGATTGTGGTTGTTGGACTACTCGGAGTAGGAATATTCTTCTATCGGAAACGAACACAGCTTCAGCAGAAACCAAAACGGGATAATAATGCAAATGGTCTCGGAGTCATGGGAATACCTAATTATGCTGGTTCTACTTTTGCTGGGGCGCAAATAGGGGCCAGACCCCCTCCCCCGATACAGATGTATTCTATAGAAGATACAGATGATCATAGAGGTCCGATATATGATACAATTAATGACGGAGACAGTTCTCATTCAACATACAGTCGGAGTAATGGATCGGAGAATAGCAATCCGATCCGGAGCACTTTCAGCCCGCCACCGGGTCTACAAAACGGCGGGTATTCAAATGATTATGATGTGCCAGAAGGCGGGGCTAAGCCCGGCGCTGTCGGAACAGTTACCATCAATGGTATAGCTGTCTAATGAACATTTGTAAAACTGTCAACTGTGATTTTTATCTATCAACAGAAGGTTGTTAGGTACCATCTTGAAAATGGAGCACTTTCCGTGACACTCGTCTAACAATTATCAAAAATAAATTCAATCTAAAGTGAATTACATACAATATGACACTTTCGGCAGAAAAGCCTAAAATGTGAAAATTATTTAAAAGCTGAACTAAGTGATTTTCTGCTTAAAACTATACAAGGTGTCCCTAGTCATCTTTAATCCTTTATCGTTGCTCAATAAATCAATCATTTCGAGCTCGCTCGAAATGCCGCGGGATTTGTACTTTAATGTTTAAAATAAATAATATGAAGGATTTACTGGCTGTAAATATTGAGAGGAAATTGGATAATAGGAGACGAGAGACGAGAGCAGAATTTAGAAAATAATTGAATATTTTACAAGAAAATAAACTTTTTTTTCTTTAATCTCTAAAGGGACTGTGAACGTATTTTCACATGATTCTCATTCTAATAAATGGCAAATCCAATTCACAACAATACCCTTTAAAAAGCTTTGTCTAATGAATAAAACTGTTAGAATTAAAAGTAAAAACAACAATATCTTCCTCATTCTTACTCAGATAAAGTTAAAAGGTACCTTACACACTGGATCATTCTGCCTTATGTGTTGTGTCAACCACATACTGGGTACACTAGACGGTCTGGTACAAGTATAGACTAGGATAATGCAACAAAATTACCGTTGTGCGAAGTGAATGAGTTACAGGGTAACTAACAAAGAATGAGACTGCAAAGACGACCTGGAACTCTTTAAATATTATAATCCCAAAATTAAATTAATTCTGACGCCTTGAATATAGATCTGCTATGGCAAATTTAATGATAAGCCTGCAAAGGAATTATCAAGTTTTCATTCAATGTCTCTGAAGTCTCATCCTTTGTGGGTAACCCTGTTTGTTACTCTTTAACGAAAGTGTTAGTTAAGATTACGTCTATGCAGCCTTTTTAACCTGATCCAATAAATAAAATAAATAAATAACGATTTATTGTGATAAAATCAAATACTGATTATCATTCACAGATAATTATGAAACAAAAAGATTATCGGTTCAGGGGTCTCTGTTTATATGGAATAGCAGATTTTCTATATTTTTCTGTCCTGGCATAGTTAACATGATACTGCCTCTGTTGGCGTAGTTTGTGTTCATGTGGGTAAACTGCAGCAGGGAAGAGATGACGATGTTTAGAAGATCTAATACATTTCTTTGCAAAAGAATATATTTTATAATTTGAGGTAATCAATTTTTGAAATATTAAATTGAGGATGAGGAATGTAAATGTTTATTAACTAAATAATTTCAATTTCATAAAACTGTGAAATGGAAGGACAGCATTTAAACAATCTAATTTATGTTTGCTATGTTTTAAGTCTTGTTAGAAAGTAAAACGTCTCTGAGACAGCTAAGGGGCAAGCAGAAAAGGGAAACAACTTTTTAACATTGGGAGAAGTTTCTTTATGTAGAATGCAAATTCTTAAATTCTATTTTAAGAATGGATAAAAAACATTTTCCTTGTGGAACATCTAATTAATCAAAAAGTTGTAGGAGCACTATTTTGGACCAGAAAACCTTAAAAAAACAGTATAGTTTATCGATAAAATAAAACATTAAGGCAGAATGCCTTAGGATTCAGTTTGAGCGTAAAGCTTTCAGCATTTTTGTTTTTGATGCCATTTTTGTTGTATTAAAGATAATGTATGTCTATTTGTGTCTATTAGGGTTTCTAGTCTTTAACTCAACTCTCAACAAAATATTTATTTAAGATGTATGACTTATAATTCTTCCAAAAAGGCAGTTTTCTTATATTGCAAAGCTTTGCAATAGCTCCTAAAGGAAAGAAAAAATATTGCAATGCTGCATAAAAAATATTTATCTAAATTGCCTTTGATAAAAGGAAGCATATTGCATAAATCTTGCAGGGAAGTTTTTTAGTTTTGCTATATTATTGGATTTTGCCAAAAAAATATTTTGATATTTTAAATCTGGTTCAACTTAGCTCGATAACTAAGTAACAATGAGGTAGATATCATCATTTTCTAAAGCCCTGAAAAGGAAGGGGGGGGGAGGAGGGAAAAAAATGTTATCTATCCCCCTCCTCCTGGCTTAATCCTAGAATCCCCTTGGTAGAGTTGTCTTCGAATTGTTTTGCTTTTTGGGACAATTCTGCATTCATTTACGAAAATCCTCCAAATTTTGAGAAAAGTATTTATTGTCAAAAAATGTAACCCTTATTAATTTTAGTTTTGTTTTTGTTTTACAATGTATGCAAAAAGATAATGTTTACAATTAAAATAGAAGATGGGCGCGAAGCGCCCTAATCTAATAGCCTATTTATTTAAAATATGAAAATTATTTAAAACAATTTGCAGTACACAAATAAGAGTCTGAAGCAAAACAGATTAACAATTCTGTATGTATTCACTTTACAAACGACAATTTTTACATTTTGATGTTTAATAATATAATGATTTTAATTCAGCTAGTATAGCAAATAGTAATACACATTACACATACACACGTTACTAATTATTTCACAACTTTTTTTAATTCCTTTCTATTCATATTCTCTGTTCTGTGATTGTGAGTATTAGGACACAGTGCACATGTTTTGTCTGAGTGTCTTGTGAGTAACAAGACACAGTACACATTACACAGTACACATGTATTGTCTGAGTGTATTGTGAGTATAAATACACAGTACACATGTTTTGTCTGAGTGTCTTGTGAGTAACAATAAATACACAGTACACATATATTGTCTGAGTGTATTGTGAGTATAAATACACAGTACACATATATTGTCTGAGTGTATTGTGAGTATAAATACACAGTACACATATATTGTCTGAGTGTATTGTGAGTATAAATACACAGTACACATGTATTGTCTGAGTGTATTGTGAGTATAAAGACACAGTACACATGTTTTGTCTGAGTGTATTGTGAGTATAAGGACACAGTACACATGTATTGTCTGAGTGTATTGAGAGTATAAGGACACAGTACACATGTATTGTCTGAGTGTCTTGTGAGTATAAACACACAGTGCACATGTATTGTCTGAGTGTATTGTGAGTGTAAGGACACAGTACACATGTAATGTCTGAGTGTATTGTAAGTATAAGGACACAGTACACATGTTTTGTCTGAGTGTCTTGTGAGTAACAAGACACAGTACACATGTATTGTCTGAGTGTATTGTGAGTATAAATACACAGTACACATGTTTTGTCTGAGTGTATTGTGAGTATAAATACACAGTACACATGCATTGTCTGAGTGTATTGTGAGTATAAATACACAGTACACATGTATTGTCTGAGTGTATTGTGAGTATAAATACACAGTGCACATGTATTGTCTGAGTGTATTGAGAGTGTAAGGACACATTGCACATGTGTTGTCTGAGTGTATTGTGAGTATTAGGACACAGTACACATGTATTGTCTGAGTGTATTGTGAGTATAAAGACACAGTACTCATGTTTTGTCTGAGTGTATTGTGAGTTTAAATACACAGTACACATGTATTGCCTGAGTGTATTGTGAGTATAAAGACACAGTGCACATGTATTGTCTGAGTGTATTGTGAGTGTAAGGACACAGTGCACATGTATTGTCGGAGTGTATTGTGAGTGTAAGGACACAGTGCACATGTATTTTCTGAGTGTATTGTGAGTATAAGGACATAGTGCACATGTTTTGTCTGAGTGTATTGTGAGTGTAAAGACACAGTGCACATGTATTGTCTGAGTGTATTGTGAGTGTAAGGACACAGTACATATGTATTTTCTACAAATATATATTAGAGTGGAATTTAAATAATCCCTTGGTATGAATTTTGCAAGTCCCTTTCAGCCTGAAAGGGAGGTTGAAAGTGTACAATTCATGTAAATGTTTAAAAATCATACGCAGTACATCAGACTTATGCATTCCAATCTCTTTGTTTTATAAAGTTGTTATATAACTTTAAACATGTGTATTTGCTATAGGTGAATTAAAATCATTATTTTATTAAACATTAAAATGTAAAAATTGTCGTTTGTAAAGTGAACACCTACAGAATTGTTAATCTTTTTTGCTTCAGACTCTTTTGCATATTTTGCAATTAATATCTTAGAAAATGACGATATCTCCCTTATTATTTTCTCAGATATCAAGCTAGGTTGATGAACTACCCCCCACTATCAAATTCCAAGCTACCTGCCTGCCAAAACAAAAGTATTATCTTTGTTTAACTAAACAATTTTTTATTTATTAAGTGTTCCACAGAAAAAATGTTTTTAATCCATTCTCAAAATAGAATTTAAGTATCTATACATTCTTCATATAGAATTTTTACACAATTTTCTTGGGTTTTCCAAATTTCCGCCTGCCCCTTAGCTGTATCAGAGCCGTTTTACTTTCTATCAAGGTTTAAAACTTAGCAAACATAAATTTAATAACCATTTACCTTCTTGAGTATCTTGAGTATTTAAAAAATATGTTTTTTAATAAATAAAAACATCAAATTGATTTTTATCAAAACTTACGCTAAAATGAACTCGGGAATGCATGACAGGCTATCAGAGAATTGATTTAGAGAAAATCAAATAATTCTCAAGAAAACTTTTCTATAAAATGATGTTCCAGGGCCCAAAAGGTTATATAGCACAAATGTGAGAAGTACACCTACAGTATGGAAACAAAATGGCCGTTTTACACTTTTTCGAGTAAATTCCGCTCTAATATATTATATTCTTATTGATTTTCTAAGTGTATTGTGAGTTTAAAAGGGGGGGGAGGTTATGTGTGTGTGTCTGTACCAAAAGAGTGTGTGTAAGGAATACCGAACCGAAGGCGTGTACTGTAGGTATATACAGTACATAAGAATCTTGGTATTTGTACAGTCTAGGAGAGTACATTTGTATTGTTAATTGCTTACTTAGAAATAAGTCTAATACACATATAATATATTATTTATATATTTAGGTCAACACTATGAGACAAATTTTCATGCAAAGAATATAATTTCATTAAAGTTTACAATAAACTATTCGTTATTCAAGCTTAATTAAAATTGACGACATTGTTCTGCAATTTCCTTGATTGTAGTCATGTTGTGTGTCTGCACCAATAGAGTGTGCGTGTGTGATACCGAACTCGTCTGCAAAGCAGTGCGATTGGCTTTCTCATGCCAGACCAGCGCCATTTCCCTTTCCTTTATTCCTATTTGGAGTATAAGGACACAGTACACATGTATTGTTCGAGTGTATTGTGAATAGAAGGACAGAAAACACATGTATTGTCTGAGTGT